TATATATATATACTGTATACGTCATGTAAAGGTCTTTCACAGATAGGTCAACAAAATACAGACAATGCTGGAAAGGGCACAGAAACTTTTCATCTTGATTGTCTTCCCATGTCTGGCTTTCCATACTTAAACACAACAGCAGTATTTAAATCATAAACTGAACATAGAGTTAAAAATTGCTAAGAGAAAAAAAAACTAAAAAGTCATCTAGCTATTTAGACAGTAAGATATATCCATGCAAGTGTCTGTGCATTTGCGAATGATGCAACCAGCAAAATCCACAAAACTTGGCTGCACCAGAAATGCCTGACTTATCAGGTTAAGTCCTGCCCCTCCCCTCAAGGTCAATATGCCACAGGTGGGTGCCCTTAGGAGGAGCTGTCTGCTCCCTCAATCTTCCAGTCACAGAGCCAGAATGGGTGATGAATAACATGGGGGAGAGACAACAGACAGCTTCATACTGTACATCAGGACACTGTGGTTTGGCCCCAGGCCAGCATTGCCCAGACCCAAAGGGTTTGTGGATGGCAAAATATTGTCATAAACTTGTTTTTCACCTTGCTGTTGCTCTTTTTTATGCTTATTAGAGAAAGAGAGAGAGAGAGAGAGAGGGAGAGTGTGTGTGTTTGTGGCAGGTGTGCTATTACAGTAAGTTCACTCAATCCCAGGATTTCCAGTAACTAAAACACTGGAGCTTGGTATAATGCTGCTGTTTTCACACCAGCTTGTGAAAACACTAAAATGCCCAAAGCAGGATAAAAGGGTCAGTAAGGCTAAAATGTGGTGAGAAGGAAACAGAACAAAGGTCAACACATGCACACACACACACACACACACATTACCTATTCTAAATCTTGGTGCAGCCATCTTGCTAAATTTTTACCACCTGTGTCACCATTGTGTGACTTTTGCTGGGAAAATTATTGCTCACACACTAACTCATACACATTTTGTAAAATATTAGGAGGCTCTGTTTTGTTAGGAGAAAACCTTTTTTAAAATAGAAATTCTTTCTCCATTAAGACATACTGTATACATCACTTAAGTGGTAAAGAAGCAAAAATAACAGAAAAATAATGCAAAAACATTATAAAGCTATCCCTCAAGCTCAGCAATGAACAAAAAACAAACATAAAAACAATGCTAAGCTAAGCTAATTGTGGTTCCAGCTTAACTCTCAGTGGAAACGTGAGAATGGTGTCCATTTTCTTGTTCAACAATCAGCAAGAAAACCAATAAGCCTATTTCCTAAAATGCTGACCAGTACTTTTAAAGTTTTTCATGAACTGTAGTACTGACTATTTCAGGCATTGCACCTAGCACCATTTTTTGTTAGATTTGTCCCCTTAGTAAAACACTTCTTGATTCATTTCTCTCAGGGTCCAGATCCATTCATGGTAATAGCCTGTTTAAGAAGTAGCTACTAGTTTATTCCAGTTTCTCTGCTTGCCTTCTTCAGTTCATTCTTTAGGGTAGCACATGATGCTAGTAACCTGCCTTAAGGGTAGGCTTTTTGTCAGATGCACAGCCTGAACAGATTATCATGTAAGAATTGTTTCTATGCAGCAACCAGTCAGAAATTAATGCCTTCTTGTTTTATTAACATGCCCAGGACACTGATTTGTTGTGTGTCATAGGTGAACCTGTTTGAATGCTCCTGACAACTATCAAGATATTCATAAAATTGTGATAAATTATGAGTACACCTTTGTCAGTAATAAAAACAGTCAACATGAAGTTTTCACATAATGACTTCTTGCTTGGCTGCCAGCCACCTGAAGCCGGATAACTGGCAGGTAAGATAAACAGATTTCCCAATTCTCATATAAACCCACCCATGCCTCTTCATGCCCAGAGAGACACTTAGCTATTGTTGTCTGCGGTGAGAGCACCAAACAAAACAGGGCAGTTACAGTATGTGCTAAAGTGCAACCTCAGTGTGTTTTCTCCCAAACCAAAGAGGCCAAAGCAGGTGTTGGGTGATGTTAAGTGTTTGCTCTGAGGCTGACTCCTGTTTCCCTCTTCTCTGCCTCTTATTAAAGTCATTCTGGAGCTGTTGGTGAGGCAGCTTGAGGAAGTCAATGTTGACAAAAACTGAAATGATGTTTTCCAAAGTTTGAAATGGATCTTGTGTTTCCAATTTCAAACACAACCTTCACAGGAAACTTACAGAGGGTAAGCTCAAGTTTTTGCCTGTGTTAATCAAAACAATATAAATTAACTATAAAATTGCATTTTCTGAAGAAAATGCGTA